ACACTTTTTTGCAGAACAAAATGCTGGGACTATGGGTATATGCATGGGCCTACATAAGCTACTTTTGCCGAATAATGTCCAAAGGGCAACCGAGGCAAGAGAGAATATGCCCAATACATAAGCCGTTCTAGACTTCTGTAAATATTTATTCTGTGTCTCTAATGAATCCCTATGCGAAAACCCGCAATAGCTTTAAATAGAGTTCGAAGACACCACAAAGCGAACATGTTCCGTAACATGACTGGTAAACGACCCTCCCGGCAAAAATCTTGATGTGCAATACGACGACAAACACGCCATTGTAAGAATAGAACAAGTAATATTTGGAAAGTTCACCTCCTTGAGATATGCTCCCCTTCTTCCTCTTCCTCTTCTTCCACTTCTTCTGCCTCTTCTTCCTCGTCCTCTTCTTCTTCTTCTCCTTCCTCTTCTTTTTCTTCTTCAAGATGCCTCTTTGATTTACGAACATTAATTTGAACGCCGAGTATAATGTGCTCGGTGTCTAGAATTTGGTTCACATCCACTGTCGATAGAAGTGTAATCTGGCCAGCTCCATTATGCCTGTTCGTTTTGGGATTAATACACATAGCCACATACAGCACTTCCCCGAAGCTTGCAAAGTGGGCCTTCAGGTCCTCTGCAGTGATGTTCGCCTTCACGGCATTCACGTATAATTCAATAGCCTGCTGTGACCTACCGGCAGCCCAAAGATCCTGCATGCCCATTAGTTGCTGCTGATTTTGTTGTTCTGATTGTTGTTGTTGTTGAGTGGGGGTGGTTGAGCTGGAGGCCTTCTGTTTAGTTCGCTCGGCTTGGTACTTCGAAAGTAGTGGCTCCCGGTCAACATTATATTCACTCCTTAAAAAAAGGCAAACGGAATGGTTTTAGACTTACAGCAAATTTATCACGGATTTAAAATACATACAGGATCGGATTCCTACACCGCTAACGCAGTAATTTATTTATTAATAGCTAATGTCACCAGAAATTTTTGTTGGCCAGCTGTATTCGTGACATCTAACATAAAGTTAATGTTGAGTTTTGTATCTGCCCCTTATTGGTGATCCATTGGCTAAGGAATGCATTGAAGACGCAGAAAAATGCGAAAAGTGGTTTACATACGGTAGACGCCAAAGATCACGCAACATTCCGATATATGCGAAAGATGGATACTCATTCGGTAATCGGCATTGACTCAAGTTATGTTACTGATTATCCTGTAGTCATTTCAGTCAGGACAGGATGCGGGCCTTTTAACAAGCTTCGTTCTGACAACCAGCAAAACGCATCTATTGTAAAAACTGGCTACTTAAGTAGTATACCCTTTTATCAGCTATGTTGGCTGCCCTTATAAATAAAAATACATTTTATGGAAAGCATGCACGAAAAATGTTTCTTGTACTGGGTTGATAGCAAGCTAAACCTTCTTTAAATTTTATACTCAAAGAAATGCTATCTTTCAGTTTTAAAAGATTTGCTCGATTGTCGAATGATTTTCTAACCTAGTAACTGCTGCAGTCGAATTCAAGGTTTACAACATGAGCACTGTGTACATCCTATTTAAGGAAAAGTAGGTTTTCGCTTACAGTTTGAGGAATAAGTCACATAGTTGTCGTAAAATATTGAAATAGATGTCGAACATATTTTATGCAGTATTGGCAGCATTACTAAATTGACGGATACAATGTAGTATGAATAAACACCTCATAATTGTAAAAATGTTCAAAAATTATCAACTGCTTTAGAACCGAAAGCTGCCCTTTCTTTGAGTATAACATGTAAAGGTTTGGCTGAGCACTGTCATGCCCGAATGAGGCAAGAGGGCAAGGGTAAAAATTGCACCTTCCCACCTTCCTAGACAATAAGAGAGCAAACTAACGGATGTACTGACGAAGATAGGCTTAAAAGAGAAAAACCAGTATATATAGAGCAAATATTTAGAGCCAAATTAACCAGTAATCAAACAAGCAGTCTAACCTGATGGAAAATTGTATTAGTGCATCACCCATCTGTTCCTGTCGTTCACTCAACCTCCTAACGAGCAGTTGTATGCCCGAGACACTATGCTTTGCTTGAAGAATAACATCTATATCACACGATGGCCGCAGTGTAATACCGCCGTGTAATACAGCAGTGTAATAAGCTGGATTTGACAGAGGCATGGACAAGAACACATCAACAACCTCTCCGAGTTGAGCAAAATGGGCCCGTAGTACTTCGGTAGTGATGGTAGCCTTCAACTCAGTCACGAATAACGGCAAGACCACCTGCGGTTTCTTTGACCACTCCATCGCATTCGCCGAGCCTGTACCACTGAAACATTGTGGAAAGACAGTCGATACACATATACACACCTAGGTTTAAATATTATAGGCAGAAATGCATTACTGAAAAACTCTAGGGAGACTGGAAAGGCCATTTTGGCGTATTGGCCTTCACGAATTGAGGCGAATGTTCGCGTCCCAGGAACGTGAATATTTTGAAAAGAAGAATTTTCGAACACTGGAATAAT